AAAAGGAAAAGAACAATTTCTTCATAAGTTAAACTCGTTGCTGTGACCAAAGCCATAATAAAATGGTTGAATTCTGAAATGGTGGCTACTCTGCCCTCTCTCTTGAATTTATACATAGCTTCGTTTTTTTTTAGAAGTGAGAACTACTACAACTGTTTCAAGAAAATCTTGAAACTCAGGCAAAAAATGGGGTACCTGTTGGGCTTTGAGTAGAGGTAGGAAGTGCTGCAAAAATGAAAAAACTACCTTGTTGGGACCTGTTATTAGTGCGGTGAAAGGTGTGGTGGTTGTGGTAGCAGTCCCAAATCGGGATAATTGCAGCGGGAAAGGTGTAGCGGCCGTGGCAGTTGGCAGTGGTGGCTCTGATTTTTTGTTTGGGTGGGAGGAGTGAGGATGCGGTGAAGAAGGAGATCAATAGTTTTCTTTTTCTTTTTATTTTGTTTTAGTATTTTAATTGTTTTATGGGGTTAAATAGCAAAGTTACCCTTTTACCCTTTCAATTTAATCTATCCATTTGGACATCTACTGCTAATTTATCAAAGGTTTAGGGACTCTCATTGGCACAAATTAAAGGTTGTGGTAAAGTCTGAAAAAAGTGAAAGGTTATGGACCAATGCTGCAATTTTGCCTTATTTAATTTGAGTTTTTATGTTTTCTTTTACAGTTTTTCAATGATTCACATTTACTGCGACACATTAATTTTTTACTCTAAAAAAAAACTTGTCATTAGATTTCACTTATTGCACCTCCTTGTTTTATTGAATTATTAATTTATACATTACAACGTAATTATATTCTTAATCGCTATTTGCTTGACCTAATGATCTTGAACACACGTCAATATTAAAATTATACTTCTTATGTCAATAAAGATATTCTTTAAATTTTTTTATTAAAATTTAATTATTATTTTTTGTTTATTTTCAAAAAAGGAAGAAACGGTGAAAAAGAAAAGAGAACAATCTTATAAGGATTTTATTTACAAATTGGTATTTCCTTCAAAAGAAAAAAGGAGAAAATTATGAAATAGAAGAGAGAAGCAAATGAGAATATTAAAATGAGAACAATAATATGTTGAAGAGAGAAAAGTCTTAAGGGTCCGTTTGATTGTAAGGGTGAAAAATTGGTGAAAGAAAATGTTTTGTAGAGAAAAGATTTTCCTAGAAAATGTTTTCTTGAAGACTTGTAATTAATTGTGTTTGATTGGTATA